GCCTCTGGTAGTAACGTAGTGCGTATCTGTCTGTCTATCCTTTTGCGCTTTGCATGTTCAGTGTAAGGACCTGCATATTTATGCATTTCATGAAAATTGACAGGTTGCGGGAAGCCTGCTACAAACATTCAATCAGTCTGGATTTTTGTACCTTGTCCATCGTCTATTGTTATAAAATGCACGTTTCGAGAACTGGATCTGTCTTGGTCTTTAGATGTAATAAAGGGAGCTCTTACTCTGTGGGGTCCGTTAGAATGAGCTTTTATCATCTCCCGTTGACATAACCTGATATCAGGTGCTTATACGTACATATGCAGCCGTTCGGACTTCGGTTGTACAGTGCTTGAGTTTAGCTCATTCTAACGGACAACACAGAGTACTACAGCTGAGGACGAAGACAGACCCAGACAATAACATTGTGCATTTTGTAACATCAGACGATGGGTAAAGTCCAAAAACCCAGCAATCCAGATTGTACTACACCATCGTCAGAACCCTTAGTAATCGATTCGTTGTCTCGTAATTTTAATTTTCGTTCTGATTTATTAATTAGAATTCAATAGGTCCCATTTTTAATTAATTCTGTATACACAGCCTTGCCCCTTCACTGGCCTGAAAGAGTTGAGAATATACAAGGACACAACTCTAATAAGATTAACTTCTGATACCACAAACGAGATTTATCGCTCTGCTATGAACAGTGTCAGTGAAAAAGCTTATACTGAATTCCATTTGTTAATTGAAATCATTTGTGGGATTTTATCATTTGAAGTCATGTCCACATCATATCAGCAACAAAAAAATTATACCGATTGTGAAGGGTTGTGACGATGGTGAGTTTTTGGACCTAGTTTATCGTCTGTACATCCCACTTCGTTCCTTGTCTAGAACGTAATATGTATGTATATTATGCTTCCCCGAATGCTGGATATCTAAGCCAGTATCATTTCTCCTTGATAATCAGCCGGTAACACTAAGTGATGAAGATAAATTGAGGAAGTTTACATTGTGTAACTTTCACATTCTCGTGTTATTTTATTCTTTTAAAGATCCAGGTGTTATCCATAAGTTCGTCTTCGAATACCCTCAAAGCACGTTCTTCCCGCCGAGAAAGAGACCAAACATGGTGTCCAGTGTTTGAACACATGTCTCTATAGCAATAACCAAATAACATTGTTACGCGTCGTGTTTATAGCTCATTTGTTTTGTTTGATGTTCCACTGTTTGAGCTGCTTCACATGAATGAGTCTAGTGTGTCGTGGCAGCAATGTTGGTTTTGAAACTGTAAACAGACCTTATAGTAAAACTTAAACAAACATTTGAAACAATATTATACGAACGTTCAAACATTACCTAACCTTTAATCTGTTTTACACGAGTCAAACCGGTGTTTCGCAAATAGTACACCGTTGCATGCTGAATTCTGTTGCGTTACACATAAGACTAGTTCATTAAATGTGTAGCTGTGAGGTGTTGTTTATTTTTGTTTCGCCATTTCATCGACCTGTGGTGATGTTTCTATGTTGAGTTTTTATTGCCCCAGTAAGATTCATATTTATTTATATTTATTATACACTGCAATTATCAGAACTGCTATTTTAATCTTAGCATTTTGTCAGTCACTCTTTATCATTTATTATTACTTGGTCCTGAAATATTACGAAAATTTAAATTTTTCTGGACTATAACGCACAGTACAGAATGAAAGACCTTAAGATGAACCTACTTGCGGTTACAAGTTACATTAAATGCACAGGGACTTTTGGTTGTACCCGTATGAAGAAATATGGAACATACATGCCCGCGTACTCACATACTACAAAAATAAAGTAATTCGGTGTACTGCGAGATATAATTATATTCTAGTGTGCTGTCATGTGGGAAACAAATATTGAAGAAACACTGCTTAAACTATTCACTGTTTGTTGACCAGTGTGTCTCGAAAAGCCTAAAAGAAACTTGAAGAACCTAATATTTGTATCTTTGGCCACAGATAATAAACACCAATTTGGAAGGACATGCATTCTTGGCACAAAATGCATACACTGAACGCAAAATGTTTCATATCGGAAAGTAACCATCGGATCAGATTTTCGACTCTAAAAATTGTTGGAGAATTTTAGGTTCAAAATATCCATACTTTACTTGAATGAGCTTTATAAGTTTTATTTCGCAGAAGCGTCTGTTCGTATAAAAACGGGCATAACCGCGTAGTGTAAAATATAATTTTTTCAAAACGAAATTTTTAAAAGATTTTTATATGTGACAAACGAAATACGAATAAAAATAATTTCAGGTTTTGCAATGTGATAGGTTGTCTGTGATGTGATTAGTTGTATGACGAGAGACTTGTATCTTTAAAAAATGTCATAATGGTCAATTAGGTATGCAAAATCGCCAAGATTTTATTTGTAAAACGTGTATACGTAACTGGAATATGCCTTACCATTTTTGTTTGGTTACAGAACTTTACTATCTGCAATTATCATTTTTCAGTGGCTGAATTCACACGGTTTCCTTCTTTGAATGCCTACGACATATATTCGCAGTCACATTTGTCAAAAACTGAAACATAAATATTGTTGATGACGGACACTTTGTAACTCCTAACAGCCCAATGATAACTATATGTAGCACCCGACATGATGCTAAATAACTCGTCATTTCGCCAACAAAATATAGTCACGTGATTCGTTTGGTTCTTACAGTAATCAGTAATCTACATTAAAATACGGATACTTGTAAAAGATGCGGTGTTTAATTGGAGGTAGGAACTAAATATTTAAATATTATTTAGGCCAATCTAATTCTTATCATAAAAATAATCATAAAATCAAAATCCCACTGCCTTTGTCTCAGGTGGCTATTTCTTACAACTTCGTCGTTTGTTTTCATACCATATTGCACTTGTCAAAAGGACGAGTGGGCAAAGCCCAGGAACATTCTGACATAGTGATGCCTTTTCTCCCCTCGAAATAAAGTGTCTCTTATTTCTCACCATGACGTTCTCACTTTTTCATTGCACATACACTAAGACCATCGTACGACTTCCGGACCGGTATTCGAACCCGTAACTTCCTTAATACGAAACAGAAATGACATCCGCTATACCGCGATGTACAGCGAACTGAAAATGACTGTGAAGGTAAGGATCTTTTCGAAGGCATTGTCTCAACATTCTTCTGGAGAGACTGAGGAAAACCACAGATGATTGAATCCCACTGGGTTACTCCATGTACAAGAAGCATTAACTGCTTGAGTTAATGTGCTCACTACGGCATATGCTGATGTCTCTTTGAATGCTTAATTCTTAGGTTATTTAATGACACTTTTTAATTGCAGAGGTTATATAGCTGGTAAGAATTTTGAGAGATGAGCCGGGATAGCTCAGTCAGTATAGTGACTAGCTACGGGCTGAACGGCCTGGGTTCGATCTCCGACGGGGGCAGAGGATTTTTCCTCTAGCCTCTGCGTCCAGACCGGCTCTGGGGCCCACCGAGCCTCCTCTACAATGGGTACCGGGGTCCTTTCCCGGGGGTAAAGCCGGCCGGGGCGTGATGCTGACCACTCACTCCCTTCTAGTGCCGAGGTCAAGAAAGAGAGGAGCTATACCTCCACTCACCCCAAGCGCGTCATGGGACAAACTTTACTTTACTAAGAATTTTGAGAGAGTTGTGGCCAGTTTCATGGTATTATCCTGACACTTGCCTGGGGAGATCCAGACAATATTTATACCATCATGACTTTCAGAGTCTTGTCTATGATAAAAGGACTCACCACATGATGGTGATGTTATTAAGATAAGAGAGACTTTTATATCCTAGCTGAATTTTGTATAGTTAAGGTGTTTGTTCTTTACCCACAGACTGGCAACGCCAGACAATGTTTGACAGCAGCGGTCTTCTGACCCTGCACTATGGCAAGCATCATACTACTCTGATCGACGAGATCCGTGCTTGGTTTGATGGCGAATGCTTTGCTGATGTTGCACTTGTGTGTGAGGGGAAAGAAACATTAAGGGCACATCGTCTTGTTTTGGCATCATCCAGTCCTCTTATCAAGCAGGTTCTTCAAGAGACTCCGTCTGCTGAGAGCCCAGTCATCATCCAGTTCCCTGGTGTGCGTGCCGCAGATATGAGGCTGTTGCTGGATTTCCTGTACACTGGCCAGGCTTATGTTCACGTATGTACAGTATTTTATGACATAGAAGATTTTGAAAGGAATCAACAGGAAATTTACGTTATTTCGTGGCAGCAAGTATGAAGATGGCTTTCTTCTGGGTTGTAGCGCCATGTAGTCTGGTAAAAGTTTACCTACATTTCAGAGGCAAATGTCAATTAATGTCTACCAGACTACATCATACAATAACCCAGAAGACATCCATAATCAACAATAAGTATCATTCCTTATACAACATCATGTTTAGGTGATACATGTGTAGATATGTACATACAGATATATATACACACACATACACACACATTTTTTTCTTCTCTGCATTGAAACCCATTGCTTTATTTATAAAAAATTGTTTTGGTCTTCAAATTCCACTTTGAAGGTGACAATCCTGAATTCTAGATACGTTTACCCAGTAATTAGCTGTCTGATAATAAAACTGGAAGACTAAACTCCGCTCATGTCAAAAGACCACCGTTTGACACAATCCTTTGCTAGTTTTATCCATCTCCCATCCACAAACTGTTTCCCTAAACTCCATCTTAATATTATCGTCCAAATCTCCTTCTTGTTCCTTCAAGTGGAAGCTGTTTCGAGGTTTCCAAGCCATTCAATCTCTCTATCTAACCTATATGCCTGTGAAATATATAAAATTAATTGTATAAACATAATTGGTTTTCAGTCACGTGATGTTGATGGTTTACGTGAACTTATCCAGCTTCTTCAGATCAAATCTGACTTCCTGGATGAAAAACAGTCAGAACCTCATGCAGCGCAGTCACAAGAAAAAGAATCTCAAAGACAATGTGAAGCCCAGCTTAGTGAAAGTTCCACAAACTCTGAACCTAATGGCAGGGAAGTATCAGGGAAAGTCATAAGGGACGGTGATAAACAGCAAAGTACAGATGAGATCTTAAGTGAGTGCGGTGGTTCCACGGACAAGTGCGATGCTAAAATTGGGGTTCAGGAATTTCCATTGGCAGCAGTGACAGTGAAGAAAGAAATTCCAGAAGAAGGCGACGAGACAGAGGATGGCGAAAGAGATATGAGGGGTGAAGATAACATTCAGGATAAAGTGCGACAGCAGAGGTTCATACCGGTCAGGAGACGTAGTTCACTGAATCCAGTGAACCTCTCACTGTCTAATCCTGAGCACAGCAGTGACTCGCCACCATCTCCAAGTCGTGTTAGAAGTGCAGATGTAGGCGAGCATAGTGAGTTGCATGGTGATGCGTCAGATAGAGACACAGTCACAAAGGTTTGTTGTTATCAGGTTGCTTCTCTTAATAAGTGCGTAGCTGCATAAGTATTGTGTGAAAACTATGATTGCTATATTGTGTGGACAGTAGGATGTTTATATTCTACCAATCACAGCTGTGATATTTTAAGTTTAAGAAATGTAGGGTTAGCTGAAAGCTTTTTTTGCATCAAATCCTTCAACTGTGGCCACCACCTTACAGTGTGCCTGGTAGAATTTCTGTTTGCGTGAGTGTAATGCAAAACTGGGAAAATAACTATTCTAAGATATCTGTAAAAGCAAACGTGTCATTTTTGTACTACAAGTATGACACACAAAATCAAATATTTTGATACTTTGGAATGCCCATAATTTTTGGGGTTATATTTAATTAAATAATTTATTAGTTTTAGTATGTCAGCAAACTCTCACATTTATAATTCTTTTAATTTTGTTATGATGGCTTGTGAATTCCGGCACTGATGCTACAATGTCTGAAATCTTCAGTTAAGCCCCTTTTTACCTCAGTATGATGATGATCATACAAGAGAATGCACGTGATAGAATTTTTTTGTCTTTTCATAAATTGAAGATATTGAACTTTAAGTTGTAAGTCCCATAATGCTTCAACAAAATTATGCTATCCAATATTTAATTATAATTCTTCAAGAAGGCTTTAATCCAAATTTTTGGACCAGTGAATTGAAAGAGGTGGCATTCTTATTCTCGAAGTCTAACCTGGCCCTGTTAGGTTTCTTGTAGAGGACACATTAAGCTTTGAAAGATATTTGAGACTAAAAGAATATACTATTGTAAGTCAATATTATGAAATATAACCCTTTCAAATATTGGCGTTAAATTCTTATGGACTTGTTTATTTGCAGCCTTCAAGGCGTAAGAAGCCAACAGGTGTCCATATTGTCAGAGACTTCCCACTAGGGACTGAAAGTGATGAGAGACAGCAACCCCTTGATAAGACCCTGACATCTCTTCTTCCACTCGATATTCCCCACCTTCACCATCGAACCAAGAGAAAGCCACACTTCACCAGTTTATATTCTGACCCAGAACCAGAGAGTAAACTGGCAG